GGGACGGACAACAGAAAAGTGGGTGAAGGGAGATGTTGGACAGGGCAAGATATGACAAAAGAACAATTTATAAACTATCAAGGGCTTATGAGGGAGGGAGGAGTGAGGAGGGAGGGGAAAAATGAGGATCTAATACCGGGGGTTTAAGTGGAGAGGAAATGTTTTGAGAATGATGAGGGTAATGAATGTACAAATGCGCTTTACACAATTGATGTGTGTATGGATTGTGATAAGCATTGTATGAGCCCCTAATAAAATGATTAAAAAAAAAAGAAAAGTTATGTGGTGCTTCTAACATCTCGTGTGTCCAGTAGCCATGGTCAGGAGGATCAGCAGGTACAGGCCAGTCAGACTCCAGACTCTGGGGATGATAGCTCACCTCCTCTGGGTGACATTGAATTCTTAGAGTCTTTACAACTCAATACAAATCTAAATGTATATATATTTTCATTGTAAAGTATACTTTCGATCAGATTATGGGTAAAAGCTGACTTTCAGGTTTTCAGTGATAGTTATGTATGTATTAAGCAATGTAATCCTACACCAATAAACATGGGCATTCATTAAAAAGGTTCTCCTAAAAATCATCTACATTCTTACCAAAAAAAAGAATTGGATGTGATGGTGACTTTGATCAAGTTACAACTAAAAATGTCTGAAGTAATCTGGGGATTTCTTCTGTCTCCACTATGAAAGAACTCTGTTTCTCTAGACTGTGAAAATGCCCTGGAAGCACAATGGTTAAATGCCAAAAAGCCATTGGTTAGATGGCACCCTGTGGTTTCTCCCAAGAGAAGACCTGGCATCCTGATTCTGTAAGGATACTGGCCTGGGGAACTGTATTAGGGCCGTCTTATTCTGCCATGTGAGGGCACTGTGAGAATAATCCACTCAATGGTACACAATAACGGTATTCCAGTTGGTGGTACAAACTGTGGGCAGTTTTTCTAGGAAAAAAAGGCTTGACTTCTAGAAGACCAATCAAAACAAAACAAAACAAAAATAACAATCTGTTGTTATAGAGTAGATCAGGTCTCAGCAACTTTATAGGCCAGAGGAGTCCTTCACTATGGCTTTCCATGGCTGTAATCTTACCAAAGCCGACTGTTACATCGTCCTCCTGAAGCTCAGCTTACTGGTAGACCCCAACTACAGACCTTTCCATTAAGCAGCCTAGCATTCTGAATCTGCAAGAGAAGTCTGATCAAGGGTATTTCGTAGAGAGAGAAATAATCCTGAGATATGATTTTAACTGGTAAAAGAGAGATTGATGGAGCCAAATCATTGAAAGTTCAAATTCAGTCAATGTTTTATCACAGATGCCCATGAGAAGGATTTTTTTTCCAGTAAATCATTGAAATCACAAAATGGTCATATTACTTCAGCCATAAGCTCTTTAGCAAGCCAAATCAAGATTTCTCCTAGAAACACAAACAGCCATTACCATAACACTGCCCAATTCATTGGATTCAGAATCTCTTTTAGTAATATCTAGAGCCAAGTAAGGAGACCTGGTGGGTTAGCCTGGGATCCAAAAGATCTGCAGTTTGAAGCCACCAGCTACTCCACAGGAGGAAGACGAGTCTCAGAAACTCAGTTCTACTCTCTCTCACAGGGTCACTAAGAGTCAGCATCCACTCAATGGCAGTGAGTTTGAGGTTTTTGGTGTTTATTCTTTATTTTGAGAGCCAAGTTAATTTTTTTAAGTTTTATAGGAGCAACCTTTAAAGAAAGAAAACTGAAGGAAAAAAAAGAAAATGGAATCTTTACGTGACCATTCTTTCTCTCTCTCATATGAATCTATACATCCTATGAGTCAATACTATTTTGCTGTTAATAACTATTGGGATAAGTTAGCACTTAGTTACTTCCCTTTCGATCTTCCCTCACTGCTATTTTCCCCTGCCAGTCCCATTGTCACCACCTTTGTCTGGACATTAGTGGACTGATTGATTTCCCCATATCACTCTTTTCTTCTTCTAATCCTTTATCTTCTCCATATGCAGATTTATCTTCCTTTCAATGTAATCATCACCCTGATTGCAAAAGCCTTTAATGATATTGTGCTTCCTGTAGAACAAACACCAAATTCTTTATCTAGGCCTTCCCCAATGTTTCCAACTTACCACCCAACCTCTTATCACCCAAACTACTATATTACAAACCTTCTTGTTGAACAAACTGGTCCACTCATTATTTATTCCCTATAAACTCCGCATCCATTCTTATCTCTGTGTTTCCATGTGTCAGGGGGGCTTCAACAAGTTTGTGGGAAAATGCCATTATTTTTTTTATTCCTTTTTTCCAAAAGGGCAATCTCATTTCAAACTACACAAAAATACCATGTGAGACTCCACCAGAAATTAGAGCGAACTCATTCTTTTCCAAAATCCAAGTCCATTCCTTCATGATGCAATTCACATTCCACTTACATCCTAATACTTTATAAAGACTTTCCCTGTGTCAGCGTGTCAATCTTCTGACACTGGGTAGACTGGAAAACAAATCCATGGACACGCATATGTATATAAGGGAGAGGTTTACATACAAGAGGAATTAAACATTGAGAAAACATCCCAACCCAGTCCAGATCAAGTACGTATGTCTGATATTAGCCCATATGTCTGATACCAATCTATAAAGTCCTCTTTAGACTCATGAAACAAATGCAATAAAGCCAAATGCAGGACGATCACATGCCAGTGGGTAGAAAGTCTTTGGGTCCAGTGGCGTTGTAAGCATCTCAGTGCTGGCAGGGGTCTCTCTGTGGCTTCTCCAGCTTCTGAGGTCTGGCTGCGTCTATGTGGCTTGTCTTCTGCAATGTCTCCCAGGAAGTGGCAGAGAGAAAAATGCGTCTTCTGTCTCTAAGGAGGAAGTAGCAGATTTCCCAGAATTCTCAGGAGAAGGCAATGTCCACACAGAAGTCTCATTGGCTAGCTCCAGATTGGCAGCCTGGACTCCACCCTACACTCTTAATCCTTACATTGACACCAGATTAGGTAACTGGCACAGTCAGTGATCACTTGGTATGTGCACTGGGTTAGCCACCATAAATGGAGTTCTTGCATCATAATAGGAAGTCTAGAGATGACTTCTAAACATGGAGAAGTGGAAGAAGGCAGGGAGGAAGATGTCTTCTACAAGGTTCAAGTGGATTTACATTTTCAGAGGCAGAGATTCCAATGCACTTTTGTGGAAAATTATTTTTGAGTGTGGTCATTGTTAGTACTCAAATATTTTTAAATTTCTTATTTCTGGGCAGGTAAGGGAACTATCCTCCCCTGGTCTCTTGAAGTTAACTTTGGCCATAAGACCTTGGTGAATAGATGGTGAATATAATGAGACCAGATGTTTATGTTTGGAAGCATTTAGAGTCCATATGTGACTCTAAATCCTTTCACTCTATCTACTTTAGCCACTAACAGCTTACCAGAGAGTAGTTTCGACTCATTCTACTTCTGAAGGATAATACATAGCCCGCTGTTTTCAGGTGCCAGCAAGTCACTGCGACCTATACTGACCCTTCACACAATGGGAAGAATCAGCGCTCGACACTGTCATCCTCACAATTGTTTGAACCTGTTGTCATAGCCACTGTGTCAATATATCTTGTTGAGGGTCTTCTTCTCCAGGGACTCGTCTCGTGGTAACATGTCCAAAGCCCACGAAAGGCTGTGTCTTCCTCACTCCTAGGAGCATTCTGGCTGTACAAAGTTGTTTGTCCTTTTGGCAGTCCATAAGACCATCTTAGTCCTTCAAGTGACATATTAGGACAGCGCTCCCAAATCCTTAAAACGCCTCTCCTCACTGAACCAGGGCTCAGGAAACAATGGCTGGCATTGAATAAAACCATGATTGGAAGCAGTGGTGGTTCGATAGTAGAAATCTCCCCTCTCGTCGGGAGATCCAGGAGTGATTCCTTGCCAATGCTCCTTGTGCAAAGCTCTGGCCTTCTGTCAGTGGAGGCTTGGGTGCGGCTGTAATACTGAGCAGGTTTCAGTGGGCTTCCAGACTAAGACAGACTAGACCAACGTATCTGATCATTAACTTCTGGAAATCAGCTGATGGAAACTCTGGTTCCTAAGGTCCCTTCTCTTTGTGCATGTGTCACCATAAGTCAGGGACCTATCGGACCAGAGCTAACATCTAGCCATGATTAACAGCAAGAGAATGCACGAAACTTGTGTTGTTTGGAAACACAAAGCTTCAGTCATTATCTGTTACTTCTGCATCTCCTAACCTACCCTGACTACCATGTTGTTGTTGTTTTTAAAGAACCTTTTCAAAATGCATTTTTAATCCCACAAATTGAGTAGTACCCACCTAATATTGGGAAGGGGTGTGGAAGCATAAAAGTGTCATTTATCTTAATACAGGTGCTAAACTGCTGATATGGGTATTTAACTTAGCAGCTATATTGAAGGGTGACATCAGAAGATCAAGCTTGGAAACGCTGCACACTAGCTTTCACGAGCCTTGCCAGGATGCTGGAGATGCGCAACAATGCTTTGGAAAGCAACTAAACAAATGTGGTTTGTTCTTGGAAAGAGAATCCCTTCTTCATTTCCACTAGAATCAATATTGCTGTGGCTCACTAAGGAGAAGGATTTGGGGAGCATCAGTGTTACCAGCTATCACCTGGGGAGCACCGGTACCGGCTCACAGAGGTGCCCCTGCCAGACACTCTGGAGCTTGGTAGCATTTGCCAAGGAGGCTGTGGCAATAAAGAAAAGAATTATTACAGTTATTAGCTGAAAGTCAGAACGGATTCCAGCAGACAGACTTGTGTGTGAGCACAAATGAACTACTGTCAGGAGGTTTTCAGAAATAATTTGAGACTTATTGTAGAATTGGGAGTTTGAATCAATATTATTTCGACCACAAAGTAAATTTGACTTAAGACCGATCTAGACCTATGGCTAGATTATATAGCCAAACTATTTCATAGAAGCTGAAACAGATCAAGACATATTATTCAGTTGTTCAGGAATACCTATCTGGTGTTTGCTTCAGCAGCACATATACTAAAATTGGAATGATAAAGAGAAGATTAGCATGGCCCGTGAACAAGGATGATACGTAAATTCATGAAGCATTCCATATTTTTGTGTGCTAAGTCCATACGGAAGGAGCACATAGCCCATGTGTCCTAAAGATTGTCAATAATAAAATCCAGGATCAGAGGAGCAAATTTATGACAGCTTAGATTCTGAGCATCTGGTTTGCAGAAGGCTGTGGATAAGAGTGGAATCCCAAAGTTCCTCTGCAGAGTCCCCATGAGGATTAAACCTCCAACCATTGACCAGGCATGTGAATAGTCTTGCCCTCAGACAGAGCACAGTGGAAAGTGGTTACTAGTTAGGCTAAAATTTAACACATTAACATTTGTTTTCGTTTTTGGCCCATTTTTAATTTGGTTCAGTTTTGTGGGTTGAAGTTTTACTGTGTTTTATTTTGTTATTATTAGGGTTATGTGTATGTTTTTCTTTTTATAAAATACAGGATAGATGATTCCATAGATTCTTAAGAAGATTAATAGTTCCTTATTGTGATGGCTGGGCAGTTTGAGGGGGGAGTACAAGAATGAAGAACGTGTTCTAAAATTGATTATGATGATGATTGCACAACTTGTTTTAATCTGTTTAAACCATTGAATTGTATGGTGCTTGAATTGTTAAGGAAACCATTTTTTAAAGACTCTTATCTCTGGTGAAGCATATGCACCATGTGATCAAGTCTCCTGACAGGCAGTCTGGGCTACCAACTACATTTATTGTTGATTTTTATTATTTACTCTTAATGTTTGTTATCATGTTCCATGGATATTCATTTTATATATTTCGACTTTCATCTCATGCGAGAGTTAGGCTTTATATTAACTTGGTGTGTATGGGGGATGGGGTGGGCTGGATTCTCCCATGATATGATCTAACAAGTGTGGTCAACTCCATGATGGGATCTTCTATGAAGCAGCCAAGCAGGTAATCTGATCACAGTCTTGATACAATGGAGGGAGGTTTCGTTCCAGGCGAGGCCTATTCTTAATATAAATTGACAATATGTGGGAGCCAGCTCACCTCTCCTGCTCGATCTGAATCCGACATCTGCTTCATCAACCTCCTGCTACAAACTGCCTGTGGATTCCAGGAGCCCCGTGGAGGGTTGACCTTAAACTCATTCAACTCCGCTCTCATTAACCGGGTCTTCTTGCTTCATTTTCCTGCTTCCTGCTCATCACCTCTGCAGCTCCAGGAGTCAGGAGAAGCTTCATTTTATATCTGACCTACGGACTTGAACTGGACCGGACTTACCCAGTTCTTCATTTTCTGAGCCTTTTCTTGATACCTTGAAATCATGTTCTACATGCTCACACATACAAGAGTTACTGGCTTTGTTTCTCTAGAGAACACAGCCGAAAACACCCCATAATGAAAACATGTCTCTCAGAGATGGATGGAGTAAAGTGATGATGAGAAAGTATGGTCGGAAAAGCCCTGAGTCTGAAATAAGAATCTCAGATGAATAAGGAATTGACTTGGTCTTTCATATCACTCGTCATACCCCTTCCCAGACCCTCTCCTAGGAAGAAATTCCGCCTTTATCTTTCAGCAACACAGACTGTCCTTTAGCTTGGACTGCCATTGAGCCTACTTGAATATCAGCACAGCATCCGAACCGCCCCTCATCTGTCAGTTGGTAGCACTGTGGTGGCTTAGACGATACCAGTAGCTATGCCACTGCTATTTTAAATACTTGCAGGGTCACCCATGTCGAACACGTTCAGAGGAGCTTCTAGACGAAGAACGGACCAGGAAGAAGGCATGGACAGTGCCCATCTGAGGAAGTAGCTCCTGAAAAGGACTTCTGAATAGCCGTGGAACATTGTCTGATAGAGGGCTGGCAATGCAAGGCCCTCACCGCGGTTGTAGCCATGGGCTCAAATGTAAGAACAACGGTGAGGAGGCCTTTGGACCAGGGGGTGTTTCGTTCTGTTGCATAGACTCACAGTAGACTCACAGTGAGTCGGAGCCAGCTCCACAGTCGCGTTCTAAAGGAGCCCGCTGGTCTCAGTGGTGCAGTACTTGGCGACAAACCAAAAGGCTGGCAGATGAACCCCCAGCCCCTCCCCAGAAGAAAGCTCTAGCAGTCTCCTTCGGTAGAGATTAAGAGCTTGGGAACTCTGTGGGGCCGCTCTGTTCTGTCCTGCAGGGTTTCTGTGACTTGGAATCCACTCAGTGGCATGCGGTTTGTGGGTTCATGGCATTCTCTCCACCCTCTGAGGATGTAAACACACATCTCAAGGGTCATACTAATGTTTATCTTGTCCTGGACAGATGTTTTGACTATTCAAATGACACAATTTACAAATCAAATGTGCTGCTGTTCCTTTTATAGGAGAGATGAACTCCTCAGTGTTCCACATTTCACTCCACATTACCTCACCCTGGACCTGCCTCTCTCATTTAGTGGCAGTCTTCCTGAATGAGCAGGAAGGGGTTCCATGCACGGTGCCCTTAGCATATCACACAGTTACACTTGTCATTTAAATTCTCGTGATTTAAGCGAATGCACAGGGTTGTAATGTCTTGAACAAGTGTTTCAGTACTTGGACCATAGGTTCACAAACTTATTGGACCTACTGCCCCCATTTCAGAAGAAAGAAAAAAATCGATGCCACCCGATAGTCCAGGATAAAGTGTAGGTATCTATTTTTGTAGCATCTCCCCACCCTGGATCCTTCCAGCACCTTCCAGAGGTGGGTATCACCCACTTTGGGAAACACTGACCTCTGATCTAGAGAAGGGTGACTGCCACCTTCCATTGGCAGCCTTGGGGTTCATTAGGAATGAAAGACAGAAATTGGGCCCATAGAAACAGAGAAAGGGGGAATAGCATGAACTGGGAAGATCTGAGCAATATGAGTAAAGGAAACCCACCCATCATTGTGTAAGGTGCCCTGGAAGCACAGTGGGTTATGTATTGAGCTGCTAACCGCAGGGTCAGCAGTTTGAAAGCAGGAGCCTCTCCACAGTAGAATAAGGAGGCTTTCTTGGAAACCCATAATGGCAGTTCTGCTCTGCCATGTAGCATGGCTCTGAGCTAGAATTGAGTCGATGACAGTGATTTCTTTTGGTTTTTAGGTGTCTCAGGACCACAGTGATGGTTGGTGTAGAATTTTAGCCTTCTTTGTTGGAGACCAGGGTTTGAGCCTCAGCCAGTGTACCTTGAGAACTTTGAAGGATTGCATGTCACTCTGGTACTTAACAGGTGTCACTGGAGCTTCTAGAGAACAGAAGAAAGAAAGGGCTGGCAATCTACTTCAGAACATCAGCCTATGAAATCCCCCTGGGTCACAGCATCTGATCTGAAACCCGTGTGGAGTTTGGACCAGGTAGAGCTTTGTTCCATCATGCACGGGGTCACCATAGGTTGGGGATACATTGATGGCTGCCAACAGCAACAATTAGAGCAACACAGGTGGGTAAGTATGAAGAAAGCAGGCTCAAATGGGATATCTCATTTCCCCCCCTGTTTCCATTTATCTATCTATCTATTCATTCATTCATTTACAAACCATTTCATTAGGACACAATCCAAACATTATACCATCCCATAGTTTAATCATATCAAGCAGTATTGTACAATCTCTTCCTCAATCAGTTTCAAAATATTTTCTGCCTTCTGATTTCTGCTTTCCATCACCCCTCCCTCCACCGTCTCCCCTGCCATCCTCCACCCAGGAAGCCTGAATCTCGTTATTGTCTCTATGGATTCACCAACTCTGGGTTTCACATACTGAAAAAGAACAAGAAAAATACCTGACTTTGTTAAGGACATTTTAATCTTGGAGTGGTAGAGACAGTTATTTATAATAACTAAGGGCAAAGTCAAAAACAAATAGCAGTTGGCCTTGTCAAGCCAGGGCAGTTCTTGGGTGGGCTCAGGGAAGCATGCCTGGCTTGGAGCGCTGTCCAGCTAGGGAGATCTGCTTCTTTGGGGCAGGCAGCATCCGCCCATGCAGATGGGCACCACCTCCATCCAGCCCGCTCTCACCTTATGGCAGCTCTCTGGGATGGCCGTCTGGAAACACCATATGGGATATAGCCTTCCTCACATAATCCGATGGAGACTGTTTTACAGTTGCACATTATGAATATTTCATTCTCCTTCACAAATGCACTTCCAAGGTGTAAGTTGTTCCTTTATTTTTTTTCTGTGTTTCTTTGAGCCTTTGGATTAAATTGGACTTTCATTTTGACAACAAATGTTCACTTGTCAGATTTTGGATATTAGTACAGAGTTGAAAATTATTTAATCGTGGTAACAATTAAGAACTGACTGGGCCTCCTCATGTCACAAGTACAAGAGCAAAGCAACAGAGTAGAAATCGATATAAAAGACGAGGGGTTTGGGGTATTGTTTGGCAGGAATTGGATGGATTTTTAAGAAACAGAGTTGGCAACGTTAATGTGGTGCTCTGGCGTCCTGTTAATACGGCCTGTCTACAGCCCTCTGAAAGAGATCATCTTCCAAGCTCCTTTCCCATTCTATGATTTATTTTTTAACCTTTTAACCATCCATCCTTTAAGTTTGGGTGCTGTTTTGAAATCCAGCTTTGTAGCTATTGTATTTTAGAAGAATCACTTCATCCTCCCAGGGTGAGTGACAGCAGCTGGCTGACAGGCCGGAGCCGTGCCACGACCAGTGCCAGGGTGCCGAGAAGGGCGGAGGAATACCATACCTAATTAAAGCAGCAGGGAACGTTTTTAGGGAGGCAAATTGTAATCCTCTATCTGGAACCTGGCCAGGGTGCTGGGGGTTAACAACCCGGTTTATGCAAAATAATAGCAGAAAATATACACCCCCCCCCCCCACCCCCGTTTTTAGGAATCACAAGTGCCTGGGATGCCTCCTTTAATATACATCTCATTAAAAATGCTTTCTTAGATCCAGTCTCCCTGATCAGCTGTCAAAAAAGTGTGATAAAATCTAGCAGCAATGGAAAGATAATCGGTAGCTTCAGAAGTGCCTAGGTATGTTATGTGTCCTGGCTTTAAAAACAAAAATATTTTAATCATGCTCTCAAAGAAGGAAAAGATTCTTTGT